CTACCTAGATAGACAACTAGGCAAAATGATAATCATGTAATAATGCATTAGCTACAAGGATGCAACAATCATGCAATGTGATGATCATACTACAAGACACAAATGCATGGACTTACACTAGGATGGAGGAACCTCAGCCACACCCCAAAACAGTGGCCAAAGGTACTAAAATGATGGTGCCAACATGCAAGACAAGCATGCAAACCAACAGGCCTAAGACTAAGGCATAAAAGCCAACTTTCAAGCGCACTTAAAAGAAGACAAACATGGACATTAGACCAACAAAATAAGAGCTATGGCATGTTAGAATGAGCCCCAAAACCCACTTAGATGGCATCCCAAATGTCTAAACATGGTGGCAAACACAATGACCAACTCTTGAGGCACAAAACTACAACACTTCAAAGCATTGAAAGAGAGCCAAATGCAAGTGTAAGACCACATTACATGGACCGAAATATGATCTCAAATGATGCCAAATTATGGGAATAAGCCAAGTAAAGCATGCTAGTGACCCACACACCCAAGGCTCTCAAGCCAAAATGCATGGTGGCCATATCAAACATGGAAAATATGAACAAATCAGTACCAAACAGTCCTTAAGCATGGCAAAACATGACCTAAAGCTTCACAAAGCTGAGCCAAAACATGTAAGCATGATGGTCCAAAGGCAATATGCATTTCTAAGAAAAATAGAGGAATACAAGGCAAGTGTATTATGCATGCAAGGGGTCAACAAACCAACATAGGATAGAGGTAAAACATGCTAAATAAACAACAAATAACCTTTGAAATAAAGCCAAACAAAGCTAGGCATGCATGCTACCTTTATAAGCCTTAAACACAAGCTAAAGAGACACAAAGGGAGAGGGGTGTCCCTCCCCTATGCAAGACCTCAAAACCGCGTCACCAAATTTGTGGCACAAAATGCTGGGTTACATGAGTGAGAAAGGGTTATAGATTTTGGCAAAGAAGTCACTTATTCCCTTTGCCAAAGATGCAAAATTAAATCCTTGTGACAACTGCTTGTTTGGGAAGCATCATAGAGTAGCTTTCCATTCATCATCCAGAAGACAATCAGAGTTGTTGTGCAGAGTATACTCTGATGTTTGCGGTCCCATTGAAGTGGAATCTTTGGGTGGTAGAAAATACTTTCTGACGTTCATTGATGATGCATCACGGAAGGTATGGGTTTATGTCTTAAAGACCAAAGCTGAGGTGTTCCAGCATTTTCAGACATTCCATGCTATGGTGGAAAGGGAGACTGAAAAGAAGCTGAAATGTCTCCGAACAGACAATGGAGGCGAGTACACATCAAAGGAATTTAAAGCCTACTGTGCTACTCACGGCATCCGGCATGAGAAGACTGTTCCTGGAACCCCACAACACAATGGTATAGCCGAGAGAATGAACCGAACCATTGTGGAGAAGGTCAGATGTATGCTCAAAATGGCAAAGCTACCAAAGCCATTTTGGGGAGAAGCTGTTCGTGTTGCTTGCTATTTGATCAACAGATCGCCATCAGTTCCACTGAATTTTCAGATTCCAGAAGAAGTATGGTCTGGAAGGGAGATCTTTTACTCTCACTTGAGAGTGTTTGGGTGCAAAGCATTTGCACATGTATCTAAGGAGCACAGACAGAAGCTAGATAATAAAGCCACTCCATGCGTCTTTATTGGCTATGGAGATGAAGAATTTGGATACAGATTGTGGGATCCGAAACACAAAAAGGTCATTCGAAGCCGAGATGTGGTGTTTCAAGAAGGCCAGACCTTTGAAGACTTTGGGCAACCAGCCAAACCCAAAGTTGATGATGTTTCAGAAATTATTCCAAACCCTGCACCATCACAGCATGCCACTGATGAAGAAGAGTTACCGCAGCATGCAGTCAATGATGTAGAGTTGCAGGATGGATTTCTAGAAGAAGAAGATCCAGAAGCAGAGGGTGTTGAGCAGGGGGAGCCACAACCCCCTCTACTAGAGACTGTTGGTCCACAGTTACGAAGATCAACAAGAGAATTTAAGCCGTCAACCAAATACCCTACTTCTGAGTATATTTTGCTTACCGATGAGGGGGAGCCAGAAAGTTTTCAAGAAGCTCAAAATCATAAAGAGACGAGTAGCTGGCAGCAAGCTATGCAATAAGAGATGCAGTCCTTGCAGAAGAATCAGGCTTATGATTTGGTGAAACTTCCCCAGGGTCGAAAAGCATTGCAGAACAAATGGGTGTTCAAGTTGAAGAAAGATGGCAGCGGAAAGCTAGTCAAGTATAAGGCTCGATTGGTTGTCAAAGGTTTTGGGCAGAAGAAAGGTATTGATTTTGATGAAATCTTCTCGCCAGTTGTGAAAATGACATCCATTCGAGTAGTTTTGGGACTAGCAGCTAGTTTGAATTTGGAACTTGAACAAATGGATGTGAAAACAGCATTTCTCCATGGTGATCTGAAGGAAGAAATTTACATGGAGCAGCCAGAAGGTTTTGAAGTCAAAGGGAAAGAAAACTTAGTCTGCAGATTGAAGAAGAGTCTCTACGGCCTCAAACAAGCGCCGAGACAGTGGTACAAGAAGTTTGACTCATTCATGGTAGGTCATGAGTACAAGAGAACTGTTGCAGACCAGTGTGTTTATGTCAGGACATTTCCCGGTGGAAACTTTATCATACTTCTGCTCTATGTTGATGACATGTTGATCGTTGGACAAGATGCCACAACAATCAGATCACTGAAGAAGGAGTTATTACAGTCCTTTGACATGAAGGACCTAGGCCCTGCACAGCAAATTTTGGGCATGAATATTGTGCGTGACAGGAAAGCCAAGAAGTTGTGGCTGTCACAGGAGAAGTACGTTGAACGAGTGATTGAGAAGTTCAACATGAAAGATGCCAAGCCAGTCAGTACTCCGCTGGCTAATCATTTCAAGCTGAGCAAGAATTCTTGTCCCTCCTCTACGAAGGAAAGACAAGAGATGGAGGCGATTCCCTACTCATCCGCTGTAGGGAGTTTGATGTATGCAATGGTGTCCACCCGACCAGATATTGCTCATGCGGTTGGAGTTGTAAGCAGATTCAGGCGATCTTGATGGTAGGAAATCTACATCAGGATTGCTGTTCACTTTCGCAGGGGGAGCTGTGTCTTGGCAATCCAAGCTGCAGAAGTGTGTTGCTTTATCCACAACTGAGGCAGAGTATATTGCCGCAGCGGAAGCCGGGAAAGAAATGTTGTGGTTGAAACGGTTTCTCCAAGAGTTGGGATTAAAGCAAGAAAAGTTCACGGTACATTGTGATAGTCAGAGTGCCATAGACCTGAGCAAGAATTCGATGTACCATTCTCGCACAAAGCACATTGATGTTCAGTATCATTGGATACGCGAAGTGATGGACAAGCAGTTATTGGAACTGATCAAGATCCACACAGATAAGAATCCAGCTGACATGCTTACAAAGGTGGTCTCGAGAGACAAACTGGAAGTTTGCAAGCATCTGATCGGGATGGACTTCAAGTGAGAAGTCAGTTGTCCATGTGGGCGTGGAGGGGGAGAATTGTTGGCTCCATCCACTACCCACATGGTAAGGAGCCCACCATCCACATGGTGTGGGTGGCACCAGGTGGTAAAAGAAGGTGGTGGAGGGCAACACTAACTCACTAATGGAAGATAGTGGGGGTGGCACCACCTTGGCCAATTATGGCTAGCACTTCACCTACTCCTCCTCTCTTGGTTATAAATTGAGATGAGTGAGGAGGGGTTTGTATCATCAGAAATTGGAGAGTGAGAGCTGTGAGTTGAGTGAGTTTTATCTCCTCCTCTGTATTTTGTATTTTGCTCCATTTTAGTGAAAATTCTCATTTCTGTCCGTGGATGTAAGCATTGGGCCGAACCACGTAAATATTGTGTTCTCTGTGTGTGTGCGATATTTTTCTAGGTGTGTTTGATCCTAACATTGACGGCGCTTTACTCGACCACGTCAAGAGATTGAAGCAAGAAAACGTAATTTCTCGTTCTTTCTTTCTCTGTATTATTTGTGTGTGTTTGTTTTGTGTTACTTATTTTTTAAGAATTCTTAGAATAACATTGGCATGATTATTCAAGTCTTGTTTTATAATATGCTATTATTGATGTTGTTTTATGTGTTTTTTCTAGTACATAGTTGTTGTCTTTCTTGTTTATTGTTTAGAGTTGTATACATGTGATCTGACCCTATAAGAAAAGAGCGGTGGATTGTGATGTATCATATCATGTAACAACTTAACCGATTTGTGCTTATGACCCATTAGGTCTAATCCAGTTCTTAATGTATTCGAATCTTAGTATATATATATTATGAGTTAATTGGGAGATTAGGGTTATTAGATTAGATCAAATTCTTGTTATGTACGGATTTGTAATTTTTCTTTCCTTGGTAGTAAAACTCTACAACAATCTTTGCAATTGTGGTGGTTTCCTGTTTGTAGCAAGTTTGTGGCAAGGTCGGTGGCTCTGTTTTGGTTGTGTTTGGGATCCGGAGTGGGGCTATTTTTTAGTCTTGGTTTAGTAAACATTGGCCTTCTTTTTTCTTGTTTGATTCGGAGGTATTTGAATATGATTTTGCGATATTTTTTGTGCCAACTTCATTGGAATTAGTTGAGTTTGCTATGAGGAAATTTAAATTTTTCTTTCTCTTTATTGATATAACTTGTTTGACACATTAATAAAGTTTTTTATTTTTGCTGAACAAAAAAAGTATTGCCAAACCACATATATGTTGTGTTCTTGTGTGATTTGGTTTGTTTTATTTTCTAGTTTTCATTTGTTCTGTCTAAGACTCAATTGAAAAAAAAAATTGATTTAGTAATTGAGTTATGCAATATTTCAACTAAAGATCATAACTGTCTTTTATTTTCTCCATTTAGTTATATATATGATTTAAATGTCTTGCATTTGAGACTTCTTCTCTTAATTCACATTTGATCCATTTTGCAAGTGATAAAAGAATCTGGAAGATGAACAAATCACATCTTAGAGGAATAGGAAATTTCATCTTGGATTTAGAACTCATGTTGTCAAATACAATGTAGATAGGATAATTTATTACTGATTATTTATTAGTTATGCAAGTTTTGTTCACTACCAAACAGAGGACACAACCCTCTGTGATACTGAAAGTTCAGCTAAACATTGCTTTGTATGAACTCAAGGGATTTCAGTAACTGTTTCATTTAGGTCCTCCTGCTGCTGCTGCTGCAAGGTACTTCTCGCGAGTGGCTTGATACTTGATGACTAACTTGTCACGAGGCGGCCAGTTTTCTTTGATTACCGGAACATCTGAAAAGTTTCGCATCCATGCCGATAGCAGTGGAAATTTCTCTTCATCTAAAAGCTTTATCCCAGTAACCTCCTCGAATACACTTAACAAATTAGCTGTCCAACCAAATGCAATGTCTGTGTATCCGATTGTCTCTCCGCCAAAAAACTTATTTCCCTTGAGTTGTTCTTCTATGTATTTCAAGTTCTCCATGACTTGAGGAATGGCCTCCTCTTGCATACAAAAAAAAGTCAAAAAATGCACTTATTTAGTCTTCTCAAACTTGGCCTTACTCTAAACTTTATAAATAAAAAATTGAAAACGGATTTCAAAAGCTACAATTTCAAAAGAAAAAAAGAAATAGTTAAGGTTTGCGATGAAAGTGTAGAACCAAGAGTTGCAACAAGAGCAAACAGGAACACATGTATAAGAGCACTGTTCTCTCTATTAGTCATCCAAAAATGCTTAGCCATAAAGAAGTTACTAAAAATAGCAAATTGACGATTAAGCTCAAATTTGGATACTAGAAACCTAAAGAAACTTTTTCAGAACCAACGACGATAAACAAGGAAATTTCTGGACAAAGTGACAACTAAAATAAAATAATTAAAAAAAAAAGAAAAAATCAAAAAAATAGCAAATTTGCTGTAACAGACGCCTTGATTGATGAGCTTGTGGACTTGTTTATAATTTTTTTTATTATTGTTTTAAAAAATTCTGCCAGAGTACTTGGTGCAGTTTCTATATATAAGTTGAAAAAAATTAATTATTGAAAAGCAAGGAAATGGGTGCTTTTTAACTTGTGCTTGTTGGTTAATAAGTTGAACCATACAGGCCCTTTGTCTAAGAATCAATTACATAGGCAGTTAGCTTGAGGGCTGAAAAGACAGATTATATTGGGAAGCAAGGAAAAGGGTGTTTTTACATCTTGCTTTATGATTAACAAGTTGTACCAAACATGCCCTTTCTCTAAGAATGGATTACATAGGGAATCAACTTGGGGTTTCAGTCACTTATTTAATGATCAAAGCCACAAATGATTTACTCTTTAAAGTGGCAATCTATGTACAGATCACTTACCTAGTCAATTTCATCAGTGCATGTCTCACTATTTCAAAATATCAAATACAATTAAAGTGGAAAAAAATAATGAAATAGAGGATGAAGTACTAACTGAAATTTTTTGATTCAGTACAGGGGCAAGAAGTAGATCAAGGCATGGGTGAGGGAGTGGTGAATTTACCTTTTCATCCCCGAATTTTGCCCAGAAACGAGCTGTGGCTCTCTCATGAGGATCTTCAGGCAACAAGGGATTATGCTTCCATGTCTCGTCGATGTATTCAAGAATTACCAGTGATTCTGAGATTGGTTTTCCGTTGTGCACAAGAACTGGAACCTTTTTGTGGACAGGATTGTACTGGAGTAGCAGAGGACTTTTGTTGGTAATATCCTCAAATATGGTTTCATATTCTTCTATGCCTTTGAGCTTCAATGCCCAAATGATTCTCAAGGCAAATCGACTTGACCATGTCCTGAAAACCTTCAATTCTTCTGCCATAGTGTTTTGTGATGGATTACTGTGTTAGTTGAGGTCCTTTTATAAGCCAGCTATGCGCGTGAACAGAAGGAATCAAATACACAGAATACACAGATGTGAGTTCTGTGTTTAATAACTTCATTTGAGACATTTCTTGTCAAAAGTCAATTTAGCTATTCCAAAAAGCCACCAAGAGCCTCTGTTTGGGAAGAGACTTTTTAGGGTATTTTGGTTAAAATAGTTTTAAAAAAATAAAATAAAATTTTTAACTTAATAAAATAAAATATCACATCTAATTTATAATTATTAATTTTTTTTCTTACAAAAAAGTCAAAAGTCTTAAATCACTCAAAACGACGTCGTTTTGACAGATTTTGAGTGTAAAACGACGTCGTTTTGACAGATTTGAGTCATTTGAGCCACAAAATTTTGAGCTACCAAACATTTTCCCAAAAAAAACCAAAAAACCAACTCACTTTCCAAACGACACCAGAGTAATCAAAAAATTATGAATATACCGAACTAAATTTTTTTAGTATTATCTTTTTAATTGACTTATTTTTAGCCATTAAGATAAATTTTTAATGAACTCTCAAAAAAATCTTTAAAATTTAGAATAAATTACAAACACACCTCTGAGATTTACTTAAATTATAAATTATCCCTTTCGATTCTAGAAATTACATTATACCCCTAAGGTTTCTAATATTATAACAAATAGATCTTTTTATTAATAAATCATCAAGTTAATTAACGGTTTTTAATAATTTTAAAATTTTATTTTAATTAATAATTCAGATAAGTTTATTTGTAATTTTCCAAACTATATAGAATAATTCGTATTTTAAGCAAATCTCAAAGGGTATATTTGTAATTTAGGCCAAGTTTGACTAACCTAAAAAAGTGCACTTATTTCATCTTTTTATCTTTTTTGAGTCACATCAATCAACATCTCATCTCTACTTTTTCTACACATAATACAAAAAAAAGTCAAAAAGTGCACTTATTTAGTCTTCTCAAACTTGGCCTTACTCTAAACTTTATAAATAAAGGTTCTACTTATGACAATCTTAAAAATTATCGATGAGAAATATTAAGGGGTTGTTTGGAGTGTCCTAAATAAGTACACTTTTTTTTTCTTTTTAGACTAAAAAATTGATGAAAAAAATATGGATATTTGGGTTAACTTTTTGACTTTTTACAAAAAAATGTGTATTAAAAAATTGTATAAATAAGTGTAAAGGAGAAGTTAGTAATGTAGCCCGTACAGACAGAGCAGTGGGTGGATTAGGAGATAGGAAATGATTGCCTCCTTTTCATGCTTGAATTGGACGGTGTTGTTTGGCCCTTAGGGGCCCACCACTGCTAATTGGAACCGTCAATGTGTAGAACTCGTCGAGTACTATATGCTTGTAGAAAATCACGGTGATCGGATATCGATAGCTATCTGATCGTATTCGTTTTTTGTCAACCGTTCTACTATAACATCATCCATTTTTTATACAAAACTGATTTGATTATATAGTTAGCGATATCCGATCAACGTGAGTTTTTACAAACATATAGTACTCGACGAGTTCTACGCAATGAACGGTTCAAATTATCAAAACGAGACCCGTGATGGACCCCCACTGGCCCAATATTACCCTCCAATTTAATGAATATATATACCTAATTTTCTTTTTTTTTCCTTGGACAGCCCAATAAGTGCACTTCCACCAGTGCAGTACCAGTCACGTCAACTGATTGGTTTGTATTAAAATATTATGTAAATTAATTTTTTTATATTTTTAATTTGTGAATAGTGATAACTTTTTGACTTTTTAAATTTTCCTTAAAATGTTAAACCAGGCCTAAATACTAAAATATATATAATTTTAAGATATTTCTTACATATCTCAAAATAATTTAATACATTTCAATACGATTTCATTTACAAAATGGTGAAACATCCTTATCTCTTGGGTACTAGCATGTGCTTTTACATCATAGTTTATGCAAGGTACCTAGTAGAGGGTTAGCTCTTCGATCACCAAATTTTGTTTTGAGGGAGACGTGTTGCGTTTCTATTTTAGGAGTGGAATAGGAGAATGAGTTTTTCTTGGAGGGTTTGGAGTGTGTAGGAGTGAGAATTTTAACTTTTGAAAATATTAATTTAGCAATTAATCATTAACTTTGATAATTAAAAAAAATTGTCATGAATCCTATATGAATTATTAAATTTTTTATCAAATCTCTCGCTGTGTCCCACATAAATCACACGGGTATGAATCTCACACCCATGTAAGAGATTTGATAAAAAATTTAATAATATTTTTGGAATCCTTAACATAATAAAATTTAATATTTTAGCTTCCGTTTGGGAAGTGGGTTGACTTTTTGACTTTTTTAACTATTTTAGCCTAGGGCTAAAAAGCCTAATTTGAAAAGAATTTTTTGATTTTTTAAAATTTTTGACTTTTTGATGAAGTATCTTCATGATAAATTACCAAACTACCCTTCACATGTGCTTTACATGTCAACGCCGAAATAAATTGATGGTCTTCCACGTCAGCTGCGTAATTGGACATGAGGATTGTTGTTTTTTTTTCTTTTTTTTTTTCCTGTTGGGTTTGGATTTGGCATTTCTTTGATGTTTTATTTATTTATTTTTTTAAACTTTTTTTTTTTGTTGTTTTTCTTTTTTAATACATTAATTAGTTCTTATTCTTTAATTTATGTTTTTTTTTTTATTTTCATTCGTATACAATAACTTTTTTTTATTTTTTATTTTTCAAAACAAGTTTTCATGTATTTTATTTATTTTTAAATTACGTCGCGAATGGTAATTTATGTTTTTATGTTTTTTTTTAAATATTTTTGAATGAGGCGTATTGTTCTTGTTTTTTTTTTTTTAATATACGTTCTTTCATTTTTTAATTTATACACATTAATTGTTTATATTTGAAAAATGGTTTTCATGTGTTTATTATTTGTAAATTACAAGGCAATGGTAATTTCTTTTTTTTTTTTTTTTTGAGGAGGTGTATTTTTGTCTTCTTTTTTTTTTTTTTTTGAATTTACGTTTTTGTAATGTTTTTTAATTTTATACATTAATTTTCTTTTTTGTTTTTAGAAATGATTTTTCATGTGTTTACTTATTTTTAAATTAGTGTGGCAACTGTAATTCATGTTTTTTACTTTTATATTTTTTTATTTTTTTTACTTTGTTTTTAATTTGTTTGGGTTTTTTGGGAACACGTTTTTTATGTCATCTATTTAATGATGTGAAAATCATATATTGCCGTGTGTTAATGACAAAAAATGAGGTCTGTTTTGCTTTTTTGTTCTTTTGAACTTGTTTTTTATGCTTTTAATTGACGTCGCACATGATAAATTCTGTATTAGTTTTTTTTTTCTTATTTGTTTCAGCTTTTTTCTTTTCGAAAAGGCTTTTTTTTTGTGTTTTCGGTTTTTCAAAGTTAGGCACGTCACCAACAGGAAAGGGTATATTTCCCATGTAAACACATTCTATTGTACAATACATATTATAACTTGAATCAGTCTGTTCCACGTGTGTTATAATGTTACAACCTACGAAAATTAGGTCGACTATTATATATTTCCTAAGTCTTGTTACGCTTTTATTTCGCATGTAACATAATTTGTTCACGTATGTGAAGGCGCACAATCCATATGCGGTCTCAATCCCCAACCATTAAACCATCTCTCATGTTCAACTTCTGGCAGGCATTTATATTGTCATAGCCTCTTCTTCGTCCTAATTTAGGTGAACAGTCTGTTGATCTCTCTCTTTGTG